ATAGCTTTCAGCGCCTGCTACTTTTTCTTGACAGTGGGCCCCGAGCGAAAGGAATTTAAACTATTTGCAGCAAAGCCATTTTCCTTCTTGTTGATTTAATGACATCTGCAGCTTTAAGCCACCAGCAATTCAACTATATTCAATTTGAATGGTTTTTAATTTAATTTATTTGCTAAATAACTATTATGGCCATTTGTTTCAATCCGGGCGGCATTAGCAACAGCAAACAAATGAATATGCTTTAAGGGAATTCAAATTAACAGCTTGTCGTACAAGCTTGAACATTGACTTGTTATTTATTTAGTGAAAAATGTTTAAGTGCAATTTAAGAAGTATTCTCAGTAAATATATATGTAAAATAGGATCTTATGTGGTCTTCGCGGGATATTTAGTAGCTATGCAATACTGTTTATAGTAAAAGCCATCGAGCTGGTCGTTCCTGAAACATTCCTGAACTTTGTCTTGGGCCTAGTTAATCAGGCGAATTTGCCGCGCGAGGAAACAACTCAAAAATCGAACTTAATTGAAGCGAATCCTTTCGACTTATTTTACTTTAGGAAAGGTTATCACAATGCTATATATATATTTCAAGGATTAGCCGAGTCGACCTAGCTTTTCACGTTTTTCCAATGTCTGCTTCCATGCTCAGTTTTGGCGCTTTCCTCACGAATTCTTGATATATCTGTCTTTTTGTAGCATCCATCTTAAATGTCAGCCAGATCGAATCACTATATCATATAGCTGCGATAGCAATGTTAGATCGAAAACCAAGTCATTTTTCTATTTAAAGATATCTTGACCAAACCTGGCATTAACTCCCATGCTCCCGACATATCCACAAAGTATTATCAAAATTGAACTACTATATCACATATAGCTCTATAGGAAGAATTGGTTTTTGTTATGGAAAACATGTTTGCTTTGCAAGATATCCCAATCAAAATCAGCAAACGCAAATACAGGCATACTCTAGAGGCGAATGAAATAAAAACAAGATATTTCATTAGTAGCTACCGTAGCATCCATCTCACGCACAGCGGTCTAATATGGAAATTGGGTATCAAAATATGATATACACGCGACGGTCTAATACCCTTTTAATAGAGCATTTCAGTTGCAGTCAGCACATGTCTCGCAACAGGGTGACCCAGTGAACTCTATACAACATTTATTTAATATTTATTTTCAAACTGAAATTTTCTTTGCACAATCCAAACCTTCAACTCCTACCGTATTCAATGGCAGGTGTTGCTCTGGGCAGGCGTTATTGCTGCATCGCATGCCAATACCCTGCAAATTTGATTTGGTATTTGTTTACTTACGGGTCAACCGAATGCTAGCCAAATTTGTTGCGAAACAAAATGAAAAATACATGGTCGACTGAGCCATACTCGCATGCATATATCGAACGCCATAAAGTATGCAACAGAAGCGAGCGAGCCGAGCTGCAGTCGAGAAACCGTGGCACCTGTTAAATATTCAAAATCATATGCATGAACAATAAAGCTGCGGCCCCGACTAGAAGGGAGTTGTGGTTGAAACTTCGTTGGTTGCCGATGAGGCAGTTTGACACAAACACCTCGTCACAACAGCAACAACAACGACATTATTCATGCACTCACATACGCAGCAATTTGTTCATTTGCATATTTGATTTGTGTTTGTTTGTGTGTTCAATTTATGTGGCATTGAGAACTTTAGCCTATTTGACATGACCATAAATACATATTCATGCCAAATATATACAAGCATATGCGTAGTTGTATATGTGTCGCGCACACACACACACACGCAAACACAAACAGACTCGTAAATATGCCAAAACGGACATGTAATTAAATTTATGTACTATATGCAGGGGCTATATACTAGTGTGTGTGCTATAGAAAATTGTTGTTGCCACTAACATACTTTAATCTAATGCCCGAAAACAATTTTCGCATTTATAGGTAATGCCGAATAAAAGCAAAAAGATTTGCAGTCAAAAAACGAACGACAGCTTACAAAACTGTCAGAAAAACCCAATTAAGCTTGTTGTAGCAGAGTTTGCCTCGACTAGCAAATACCGTGTAGCTAATGCAACATACATAGAGGCATAGCAAAGGGATCTAAAAGTTCCGAAAATTTTAGTTGCTACCACTTGCTACTAAATTCCAAGAACTTTCTGCATTCGTCCCAGCACTTAAGCCTGGCAACTCAATTTTCGCAGAATCAAAGTAAGGAAGACTGAAAAGGTGTAATTTTCAGGAACTATCTCAAATATCCTTTAATAATTAAAAGGGGATATAATATACTTCCCAGAAATATGCAAAACACACTTCAACTTAATCTGAGAAAACTGCTAGGCATTAATATTGTGTCTATAACTTTTCTTTTTCATGTACAACTTGTTTAAGAAATTAACATTATATACAAAGATCACTTGTTGAATTATTTTTATGAATAAACCAATTTTTAATTAAAAAAAAAGTATTTTAAAATAAAATACAAACTATAATTCGTTTATTTATATTATCTTAATCCGAAAAGAATATGTTCTTGAATATATTCTATTACGATACGAAAGATTTATTCGAATATTCACCTGAGAGGAAGATAGCCTAGTTTGGCAACAAACTAAGCTGCGTCTGGGAAACAAGAATCAAATATGAAAGAAATTATGACTCTTACTTTAAAGATCCTAAGTCTACCCCAGAATATACAGTGCAATTAAGCTCGTTACGAACATTTGCACTGCCTGCACAAAGCCTTCTTAACCATTTGAACAGGGTATCATTGCGTGATTCGTATGAAATCTGGTAATCCAACAGGCAAAATACTTATATGTATTTATGTTTGTTGTTTTGTAAATTTAATTTGTTGTCAAAATTTCAATACACACTGTCAATAACTAAATTGGGATTTATAAAGATTTGCACGCACGCATATTGCATGACAATTTTCGCTGAGAATGGAATAATTCCATCGTATTAAGAGCCGTCCGTTTGTGATAAAAAAAAATCAATCAGTTTTGTCTAGTTTTAAATTTTTATTTAAAATAATTGCATATTTGAATAGCCAAAAGATGCAGAGAAAATCAGATAAATTCCGCCCACGAACCGAAATTTCAAGTCGAAAACTAAATTTCGATGAGACAAAGAAGTTTGGCAAGACTCAATTTGTGAGGGAAGGTAAAGATTCCTGAAACATACGATGCTTTTCGCTAGCTTCAAAGCTGTCAACTCGCTAATGTCAAGGTTCAAGACCCGACTCAAGTCAAGGGTCAACGCTGGACAAACTTCTAGAATGGGTTTCTGAAGCATCTTCGCTCTGAAGGCAGAGTCTCCTTCTGATTCCCTGCTTCAGACATTCATCAGATCGTTTCGAAAGTGAATCATCAGGGCATCTGCAAGTCGGGTCGAATCAACAACTATTCTTCATTTCAACATAAGCTAAAAAACATTAAGTTTGCTTTTTGGCAAAAATCTTGAAAGCTTGAGAACAGAATTCTGTATTAAAATAGTTGCCGAAATAGACAGCCTAATTAAAAGTCAAATATTTTAACAATTTACCCAACTAAACTAAATCAGAGATGCAGCTGACACTAGCCAAAGACTAAATTGAAAGAGATTTTCGGTTGCGCAAACAATGGAAATACATTTAAGCAGCCACAATGGTTGAATGATTGGCCAAATTAACTATTCTGCGAATGACATTTGGCATAATCTGAGTATAAACAATCAAAATGTCCAAAATGCCAAGCCACAAATTGCTAATGGGATGATAATTTCGCATAGAATGTTGGACTATTATCTGCCAGCATCTATGTAAATAAGCAATTTGCTTGGATGTCGATGCGGTTAAACCAACTGCAAATGTTAAGAGTCGCAGTACACGGATTCCCGGCGGTCCAGTGCAGGCGGGCTGCCTTACCTTGATTATATTGATGCATTTCTAGATCATTAAGTCAGCCGCCTAAGCGCCATTAGCAGCCAGGTCAATATGTGTGTGTGCTGCGGTGCGTCTGTGTGTGTGCGTGCCAGCTTGCCACAAGCTAAAGACATTTGTCCCCAAGCAGCGCAGCGTGTGGGCGTATAGGTGTAGGTGTGCGTGTGTGTGTGCGTATATTTGAGCATCACTTCCGGTTGAGTGCACCAACACATAGACAAACAAACGGAGCCAGTGGTGACGAAGTAAACTCATTTGCCCGCCTAATGGCAAATCAATGCGCCGTCCAGTGTCCCACTGTGTCCCATTGTGTCCAAGCTGTGCTCCACCAACAGGCATCATCAGCATCAGTTTTAGTTCCAGCTGGAGATGATCACGTGTCACGCCCTGCCTCAAAAGCACGAAAATTAAAGACGTCCCTCACATATTGGCCCATATCTGAATATCGCACCTAATCTTGTGTCCATCTTTTATCCAAAATCCAATAAAATGTATCCACCAGAAATTCAAGATTCTGTCTGTCCAAAACATAATTTATAAAATAAAGTGTAGTCTATTTTTTGACTTTCTGTCAAGTGCACGTTTCGTGCTTGTGCCATGCCGCGCCTCGAAAATGATTCCCGCGGCAATCTCTGGTTCGAGCGCTCCCAGAAATGTGTTGATGACACTTGAATGAGTTTTGGCCTTTTGTCAGTGTAGTTCTTTCGCCGGCGCCTAACGCTAAATGGCGCGTATTATTTATACATAAGAAATCAACTGACCATAAGCTTTTATATAGTATTAGCTAATCGGCAGCAGCGCGGCGGTTTATGAACTCCCAGCGAGTGCGTCACGAATCTGGCTTGGATCTAAGGATAGGGCATTTGGGCGGCTACTTAACTCAACACTAATTGTAACCCTTGGCACAGCGTCACATTAAATTCCAATTACATGACAAAGTTGTTGCGTTAATGGCCAAGTTAATGCATTTGCAGCGGTTGGGCGGGGGTGGTGGAGGAGAAGGTGTATGCTTTAATGTCTTATGGGCGTGGCCAAATGACACATTATGCACACCTTTTATATGTACATGTGAATATATATATATATATACTTTGTATATGTATTTATCGTATAAAGTGCGAATTTGTACATGAATTTGTGATTACACCCAGCCGAGACGGTGTCTGTGTGCGTGAGTGTGTGTGTGTGTGAGTGAATGAGCAACTTAAGCATTTGAGTCAAGTGAGCTTTAAGCGACGTCGCTGCTTGTTAATGTTTATAAATAATATACAGTAGGCATTTGCTGGTTACACTTAGTAGCTAAACTTAAGACTAGCTTACAACTAGCAGCCACATTTGGATTGGTGTGTCAATTGGATGCGGCCCGTTCTCTAGGTTTCTGTGTCCAGGCATTTGGCCTTGTCAGGGCGGGCCGCTGTGCTCGGATATTCTATCAGTTTTCTTAACGGGTTGGTGGTCTTTCATTTGGATTTGATTGCTTAGCCGTTGCGAATTCGAGTAAACTAAAGTAAAACCTGTTTAATTAACATCACAATGGTTTCAGTTTTTTGCCGGCTGGCTGAGCGGGCTTCAGTAGCAGCACCAGCGCGATCTTTCCACCTGGCCCAGCGCAATGTGCTCGATGGCCCACGAGGGCGTCTCCAGGCGACCCTCGCCCGTCGGCTTAACATCCTCGCCATCGACTGGTATGCCTATGTGCACATAGGGCAGCCGAAATGCGGAGCTATCCAGGTTGCGTGCCGCCAAAGCCGAGGCTGTATAGCTGAAGGCAGTGTTGCTGTTGGTGTAGAACAGAGAGTCCGATGACTCGAAGGAGCGCAACGAATGGCTCTTGCCCTCATCGGCCAGCCGCACCAGGCCCAGTGCCGTCGAGAGAAATACCTGCTCGAGTCCTTGGTCCGTTTCGGTGGATGTCTCAAAATAGGTGGCGCCAATGGAGATGGCAAACAAATGGGCCTCATCGCGGGAAACGGCACGCTGTGACTGCATATCCGTTTTATTGCCGACCAGCGTCAGTATCATCGGATCCTGGACATTGCGATGCAGCTCCTGTATCCATGACTTGATTTCGGTGAATGTTTTATATTGTGTCAGATCAAAAACCAAAATGGCAGCATTCGCATTGCGATAATACATGGGTGCAACGGCCCTGAAACGCTCCTGGCCGGCGGTATCCCAGATCTGCAAGTAGTGACATAGTAGACATAGTTGAGGATTGATGAGCACTCAATCAATTCGACTGCTGTCCAGCAGCAGAGCTCAATTGGACCATACACTCAGCATTCAGCACTCCACATTCCACACACAACACGACGGGAACTTTAATTGGGCCATTCTGCGTTTATTCTGCAATTTCGGTCTTTATGCTTTTGCTTTCCCACAATAATAACAATCATATTGTGCTGCTCATCTTTATGGTGCACAATTCAAATCTCCATAAAAAGTTTTTTGGGGCAACGACATGTCCAGAGCGCAGCAAGACAAAGGGCTAAGAATCTGTGCATGGAGCGCCAGCGAAAACTATTTGCCATAATGTGCTCCCGTATTGTGGTCCGCATATATACAAACATATACATATATATATATGCACATGGTATATAAAAACGAAATCGAAATCGCGCCAGAGAATATACGAGCTGCCATTGTCAAGGGGCGGCGGGCAACCCCAGCTTATGGGGGAAGCGACTTTAGCTTATCAATAAGCTATAAAAAATAAAAAACGGAAAGCTCACGCGTCCATCCAAAAAGTAAAGGCAAATAAACACAAAAGTGCAGTGGACGCAGAAATTGCAAAAAATAATAAAATAAAACAAGTAAAAGTGCTCTACTTGGGTGTACCCGACTAGGAATTGCCCTGATCCCAAACATTCGAACATTCACAAAGAAACGAATGTGCTTCTTCTTCTTTATTCAGCCCCTTACTTGCAGAAATATGTTCTTAAAGAACTTTGGAGTTTATCGTACGGTTCCAATCAAATTTTCAGGTATTAATAAAAGCATCCAAAGCTGTGCATATACTGAAGCCTAAGGCTATAGCTTTCAAATAAAGAAGACTGGGGTAGGTTTCCATAAAGTCTCATAGTCCAGATCTTTGTTTCTAGGTCTTCTAAATCTTCGTATTCTTATCAAAAAACCCAATCTAAAAACCTTTATATCTAAATATATAAATCTGCGATTTCTTGAAACTGGTGTGATATTTTTGACTTTAAACATATTTAATTTAAGTCTGCCCAAGTATTGCTACGTTCCCAATTTCAAGTCTACAACATTTATAATCTCTGAGCTAATACAGACACGACATAATGACTCGCCTATCCATGCTGACTTAGAATACATACTATACATATATATAAATATATATATATACAATAATTTCTTTAAATCCTTTTTACTACCCATTTTCAATGGGTATGGGGTATGGGAAAAATTTAAAAAAAGAGAGCAAATAAAATTTCCAAGTTATAACGAAATGAAATCTAAACCAACTCCCACTGGCAGCAGAAGCTCAGATTAGCCGCAGTTCATGGTTTACTAGGGAACAGGGCGTGGCTGACAAATGGAACGGCAGTTGTTGTACTCACTTGTAATTTGATTTTAACATCATCCAGAATGATGTTGCAGGTAAAGAAAGAGACGGCTATCGTCGGCTCCTCGGTGCGATGCAGCGCGTTCTTAATGTACTTGATGACTAAACGAGATTTTCCGACGCCTGAAAATAGAAACGATTTTCAAATTGCATTAGCATACTACAGAAAAAAAGAGCTTCAAACAAATGGTTTATATATCACAGGTGAATGAAAACACAGAGAATGCGATTACTGAACGACTTGCTAATGGTAATAAGGCGAAAAGACTAAGAGTAAAATAAACAGGACAAATATAGTTCAGTTTACTTAATTATCAATTATACCATTTAATTTTCGGATATATAAATGTAGCTCTCGTCATACACAAATGTACGCACAATACGTAAAGTGGGTCTAAGATTCTTTGTACAAAAAGTAAATAAAAATGAATGACCGCATTAACTGTAAGCTTTTCAGTCGGAGCCATCCCGACTGCGCGATACTCTGCAGTTGGGGGCGTGATTTATCGCAGTGCAACCGTTAAAGCTATACGAACTGTCGTGGCAAATAGTCTTAACTCTTTATGTGGACTCTCTGAAATTAATAGTGTGGAAGAACAAATGCTAGAAAATCTTGCGTTCCTATGGAGAAGCTCAGTGCTCAAAACTAATCGCCCATACACTCTTTTTCTCTGTGAAATCAGTGTAAAGTTTTAATCTGTTACAACAGATAAACATATGTATGTACATACATACATATGTGTACCTCGTTACAGTTAGAGAGAAGGAAATAAATAGGCGAAATACTTACATACAAATATGATATATAAACAAAGTAGGCCCAATAAACAAAAGGTGTCGCCGAAAAGCGATTAATTATAAACACGCGATAAGAAAATGGACACTAAGCTATATAAATACATATGTACGTACATATATATACATACATACATATGTACATGTGTAGTCTGAAATTTATTTGCGAGCATACGAAGCTTTGTGTTCTTTTCTTTATATTTTGTATTTTATGTGACACTCTGACTGTGAAAATCCCCATAAGACGACTCGATATCGTCGCTGACTCATCTTATAGAAAATAAAAAGAACAGATTAAGCAAACAGAACGCGTATTATTTAAAACTGAGCATGGACAATGTCGTCGTACGATATGAGCACATACTATTACAATTACACAACATGCTCGTGCACATACAATATGTGTGCGTGTGTGTGTTACGCACATGTGGTTCAAATTCATAGGCTTTCGCTGACCTTGCAAAACAACCTAACTGTAATTACGAATGGGCGCAAGGCAATCACGAAAGAACTTAAAATTCTTACTCGAAGATTAAATACCCTTGACTTTGAAGCGCTGATATACAAACAATTTAAATATATATAGACAAACATGGCTAAAGCGACTCGGTTGTTGATACAGATCAAGAGTATATAAACTTTACGAGGCGACTCTTTCCGTGCGTTACAGACTTTTTGGCAAAATTATACAGAGTATCAGAAATGCACAGGTATAGAGAATGTCAAAAAGGCGCATTTGCCATGGAACTCAACGTGCGCTACGCAAATGGAAAGATTGGCAAATTGAAAGAGCCGTGGATGTGACCTGGCACAATATTTCGAAAATTGGTAAACGAACCCGCGACGACTCCCCCGCAAGGTTCTTATCGAATCGAGCGCGAAACTGAGCTCGGCTTTAGCACAGCTCGGCGGCTGTGTTGTTATCTCGGTGCGATTGCTGAAATTGTTGCAAATTACGAGCTATTCGGGTGAGCTACTTCTACAACTGCCTTGAGGATAAGGTTCAAAGTCATTAAGATTCGATTCTACTGGTTTAAATTGCATTTGCTGCTTACCTCGCGAGCCTAGCACAACAACTTTGCCCTCTATTCCGCGCATCTTATTGGCAATGGGGCAATCAGTTGAACGGCATGTCAGAATGTGTGTGTGAAATAAATGCAGCTTCTGTGTGGCGTTGAATTCTTGATGTTGGTTGTTGATTTTGTTTATATTGTCGCTGCTCTTGTGTATTTAATGACACAGTGCATATTTGCAGGTGGTCCGCGACAAACGTTTTAACAAAGAGTGCCTCTGTTGTCCGCTGACGCTGATAGATTGTAGAGGCTGGCGAATCGAGACACTCCCAAAGCGTTTACTTACTTACGGAATGTTATTTACCACTGCGCTTGTTACTTGTTGCAAATATTAATAAGATAATTGTGTTTTTTTTTGTTTTCCTTCATTTAATCGATTCATTCGATACATCGATGTCTAAACAGCTGTGAATGTTATTTCCCATCCTTAATAGTTGTAGACATTTATAGATTCTACCGTTAACAGCTGTTAAACCAGGGATGCATACGAACACAATAACATTGCGCCAAATTAACAAAATATATTGCATATAGAATCCATGCGCCCAACATGATTTAAACGCATAAGACACTGCACTATGATACATTTCAGATTTGCTTTTTCTCGCGAAGACACTGCACTATGATACATTTCAGATTTGCTTTTTCCCGCGATTTTGTAGATGCGCCAAACATTCGGCTGCTGCCATAGCGGGGAGCATTCACTTATTACTTGCTGACACTTATAACTCGTTACTGCGGTTTGCGTTTGAGAAATAACAGGTGCGCAAATTGAGAAAGCATTACCACAAAATGCCTAACTTAACTGAACTGTTTAATTTGATTCTTATTAGTGCAAATATTTTCTTATTTAATCTGAACTACGCGTTAAACTTGCCAAACTATTTCCATCACTATGTCCGAATACTGCTAACAAATATATCGCGTATATAGTTATCGATATATCGGTATAACATCAACACTGAAATAGCCGCCGCCAAATTCTTGCTGGCAGATGTTCACGCACGCAATATATGGATTGCAAAAATACTACTTTTTATCAACGTAAATTATTAATTCAGTGCTTAAATATGAAGTCAATTTAAGCGCAACATTAGCCAGTGCCACAGACAACTTACAGATTGCAGTAGTTGAGTAAGTTACTGCAGCAACTGCGCCAAATGTGCGCGCGTTTTTTTGCTTGGTGCCGTCGCATCGTCTTGTAAAAAAAAGTGCCACATTTCAAAAGGTAAATGCAATACTTGATCCCGATCGGTAGGCTTAAGATAAAGCTTATATAACTTGTGCATCCTATCACGCCAGCATGATATTGCATTTTCCCCATAAGCCACGCCCAGGGGCGTGTGACCTAAGCGTGCCTGTACCAAAAATATCCAATGCATTAAATCTTATGTTATTAACATGTGTTAAATTTACGAACTGAATGTAATTCATGGTATTTTAGTTGAACTATTGAAGAATGGCAGCAATTAACTCCAACACGGTGCATAAGATCAACAACAGCTACGATTCGGAGCCATCCACGGGCAGCGGGGTGAGGCGGGATGACGCAAATAAAAGTGAAAGAAATTTATTCATAAACATTTGTTTATTTCCGCAGTCTTCGCTCAGTGAAAACAATGAGGGCCAAATATCTGACGAGGAGAACATGAATCTACCATATCTGCTAAAGCCAAAAACACTGAGCACCGACAATGCCACCAAATCGAGTGCCCTGGGCGGCAGCCAGGAGTCGCAATTTCGTGGCTTTGGCGACAGCCCGTATGGCCAAGTCAATAAACAGCTTTACGGCTCGCAGCTGCAGAATCTGAAACTGCCGGAACCGGAACCGCCAGCCAAGCACCGATCGCCGGGCATGGTCGTCTTTCCCAGGTTCTATGAAAGCGTCTTGGAGGAAAACAGCTGCAATGCTGTCGATATGCCGCCGGCCACAATTGCTGCACCCATAACGAAACCAAACACAGACAGCTTGTCCTTTGATGGCAAAATCAAAAGTCTGACTGAGGCGCCCAGCAGCTCTCGGCTGCCCACTGTGCGGGAAAGCGCTGCCAACTGCGCTCCGCAGGAGCAGCAGCAGCAGCTGTCAGAATCGTTTATATTCAAAAAAATGAACAACGAACGCTCGCCTGATCTGTTTGCCGACAGTGATGAGGAGGAGAACGGCGACAACCAAACCGATAAGGGACTAGGCACAACGCTTGAGGACTTGCCCGAGGTGCTGGAGGAAAGCCAATGCGTTAGCGAGGCGCCAGCTCCGAGTCACAACTCCAGCGCACGTTACTCTCTGACAGCGCCCACGGAATCCAGTTTTGTGGACGAGCACACGCTGGACACACAGCTAACGTGCAGCGATACCCGCACGCATTTTATTGAGAATTGTCGGCGGGAGCGTGAGCTCTATCGTCGCATAAGGCGCTGTTTGCAGGGTGTGCGCCCGCCGCCCACAGTGACCACGCCCGACATCGATGTCATCAGTACGGTTGTGAACATGAAGGAGAATGTGCTCAACTTCCTAATCTCGCCGTCCAGCATTGAGGACAGTGGCATCTGTGCCACGCCCTCGCTTTTCAAGCCCACGCACAGCCTGGCCGAAGCGCAGGGCATGAGCTGGCGCGAGGTGCTCGGCGTGCGCCAGCATGGACTGAGGTAAGAGCCAGACAAACGATTCCACTTGCTGTTCACAAATAAAAGCGACTCCCTTCCAGCTACAACTTAAACAAGGCGGCCGAACAAAATGAATACCTCAGTCTGTCCGTGGTGGAGCGTTATGTGGGCGCAGAGACGGCCACATCCTATGTGCGCTCGCCGTCGAGTGCCAAGAAGCGCAACATGCGCATGAAGTGAGTAGAACTGTGAATATCCGTAGTAAAGCACAATTCGTTAACGACATATTCTCTACAGAATGCTCACGAAGTCGCCAGGAAATCGGCTCAGTCACTTGGCCAAACGTCGTGCCATATTTTCATCGGCAAATCTCGCGACAAACTCCAATAAGCTGAACAGTTCCATAGGCCCGCAAATACTACTGGATAAAAAGTAAGTAATTGCTGATTGTTGCTTCGTTAACAACTACAGTGGTCACTCGATTTATTTAACAGGAAGGAGCGCAACAAGCGGAAAGCAACACCAAAACGCAAAACGCCAGGAAGCAAAAAGAAATGTAAGTTTCTCAAAGTAATCTACTTAATTATAAATACAAATATTTATAAGTAATATATTTTAATACCAACTCAATTTCACCCCAAAATAACAATTTACCTTACATTCCATTTATTTTGGGCTTAAGTATTTGGAAGCGGGGAACTTTAATTGAAGACATTAAATTTGGCAAGCAAACTACTTAGTTAACTTTATAATTGGTAAAAGGAAATGATTTTTGATATAAACTCAGATTTGACAGCGATTGATTAAAAGCAAAAAGATAATTGAAAAAAATTAATAAGAACCTTCCGGTATTGTTGAATCTGTTGCCATTTGCATTATTTATGTACTAATCAAATTTGCATTCTTAAAGCTCGGAAAACACCGTCCTCCTCGGCTCGCAAGCGCCTTTTTCGCACTGATCTCATCAAGCCGGGTCCATCGCGCGAGACCTCGAAACGCGCGCTATTCCAAAGCCCGGCCAAGTCGCTGCAACAGCAGCAGCAGAAACTTATGCCGCCCAAGCCGCTCTTCAAGCCGGAGATTGCCAATCGTGTGGAGAAATCAAAGCGTGCGCTCTTCTCGCCCGACAATGGCAGCCAGTCGAGCGCTGCGTGTGCCACCACCAGCGTTAGCAGCCAGCTGGAGACGCTGCTCAAGCGCAAACGTAACGCTCACGATGACGAAGATGCCGCTGAGCTAGCCAGCCAGAGCAGCAAACTGTTCCGTGCCGGCGGCGCAGGCGGCAGCGGTCTAACGCCGCGCGCCCTCAAAATAAAGAGTCAGAGCTTTTGCATTGGAGCTGGTTCCTCCACAGCAGGTCAATACAAGGCGGCCGCCAGCGTGCAGCAGCAGCCCAGCTTCGCCGGCGGCGCCAGTCGACTGAGCCTTGGTCTGAGCGGCAGCAGCAGCAATTTGTTCGCAGGCAGTACAACGCCAGCCGGCAGCAAATTGTTGCGCGCCCATTCGGAAATGAGTGCCACGCCGCAGAGCGCCATGACGGATAACCAGCGGAAGGTGAGGCATCAACATATTAAAAAGCTTAGCTGTTGCAGCTGCCTAAACTGAACATTTTTACCCCCAGAAACTGCTGTGGGCCGTGTCGCAGGCGCTGCAGGACAGGAAAATATCGGTCAAGCACGAGAATTTCCGGCAGCACGCGGCGGACCTGGCGCGCATTGTCAAGCGCATCTTTCAGGAGTTCCATCAGGGGCACACGACAAGCAACAGCGAGACATTGCTACGGTTGGTATTGCGTTTGGTTATCCTTTAATATTGTTTGCTCACGACTCCCATATCTCGGCAGCCTGGCCAAGAAGTATGCCTTCAGCGTGATAGCCGGCAAGCAGCCGGATGACATCTACCTGCATGCGCGCATTCAAGAGAGTGAAGCGAAACGACAGTCCAACACGCGCCTTTCGGGCTACATTGGAGCCGAGGAATTTGCGCAACGCAAGCTTCTCTTATCGCAAAGCTCCACGCAGTCGCTGTCGCAGATGTCGTTGGCGCGCAGCACGGCTGACGGTTCCATGCAGAACTTATTCGGCAGCGAGAACTCTGTTGACTCATTCGGCTTCAGTCAAACAAGCCAGAGCAACGGCGCCTCCAACTCGGCTACGCAGTCCAGTTTCATGGAACGCATCTCGGAGGATCTGTTCTCTAAGCAGCAGCAGCAGTTGCCCATACAGCCCAATCCGTCGTTGCAGAACAGTTCATCCAAAAGCAATTTGGGTGGCCTGGCGTTGCGCGAGAACGTGCACTGCGAGCAGCGACGCTCGGCTCAAAAGAACTTCACCGGCAAGGATCAGCGCAATATCAGTCCCTACTTCGGTGGCGGCAACAGCAACGGTTCTGGACGCAAGTTCCAAGCGAACGCAGCCTCCAGTGGCGGCGACACGGGCGCCAAGGCGAAGCGTCAGATTACCTTCGATAGCTAAAAATTTTAATCAAAACTATTTATTTTTACAAAGTGTGTTGTTCTATATTGCTTGGGTTGTTTTCTAGCCAAATTTATTTAAAAACCGCGGTACTTCAAATACAGAGACAGACGACTACGCACGTAGACGCATATCCAAATGAAATGCAATATTTTTCGCTGCAGTAAATGAGCTTAAATGAGAAAAGGTGTGTGCATCAAATCGATAATTGTAACTAAACGATAGCTACGTATAAATATGTATAAGAATCAACTTTTATTCGGCTAACGCCTGGTTACGAATAAATGAATTATGAATTGTAAACAATGTAAACTCGGAATAGTATAAAATAAAAAAAGGATCAACTTAATAGTAGCCGCTGCGATTGATATAGCGCCGGATTAGCGTGAATGAGACAATGTGAAAGACCAATGCGATCACCAAGAGGCTAGCACAATCCAGCCAAAAGGTGTAGTCGGCGGTGCGAAAGGACGCCTGCTGCAGTACCTCCAGGCCGGTCTGAACGCACGGATGCTCATCGTTGACGGGACAAGCTGTCAGCAGAGAAACGTAAGAAAGGTTTTAAACAAAAGGCAAGCAACAAAATATATTATATTTAAAAGTATCTAAATAATTAAAATGTCTTAAATTCCACAGTTGATGACGAGCCTCGAGAGGAGTTGAAAAAAACATAATCCGGCCCAGCAAATCTTATAGAAGTCACAAATAATTCACCAAAACCCAACTATAATTAATTAACTATTTTAAAATGTGATCGCACACACTCACCAATGTTGTCGATGTCAATCCAAAAGTTGTACATCAGCGCCTCGTTGGAGTAGAAGAAGAGCGAGAGATATTTGAGCAGTGGCACGGAGTCCACATTCATGTAGGTGCCGCCAAATATGAGAAAGATCAGATCAAAGGGCGCCGCACACTCCGATGCCATTTTGTCCGTCTCAAAAAGGCTGGAGAGGAATACACCATAGCCGACGGCGGCAATGGCAGAGAGACTCATGAGAAAGCCCATCGTTATATAGAGCAGAAAGCCGCGCGTGTAATAAATCGAGGCGTAGATCACCGACAGAAACATGTAGCCCTTGAAAAAGGCAACCGGCACAAAGGACAGCACCAGCGCCACATAATAGGCGGACAGGCTGTAGGTGCCCTCGCCCACTTCGCGTCTAATGATTGGCAGTGCGGCGGGAAAGATGTACGTTACGCCGTAGCTAAACGTGAAGATCATCTCGTTGCTGAGCATAAATATGGAGCCGCCCACATCCTGCACAGTGCGCTGCGTCAGGCCGCCCACGCCGGAGTACATCAGAGAGAGCGTTACGGCGGTGGTCATGAAGAAACCAAATCCAATGAGGCCGCTCCGAATATTTCGCAGATCCTCAGTCATGAAGCGTATGATCAGCAGATACACCTGGTATATCCAGCGTATCTTCTTGAAGTTCTGGACATGCTTCATGTAATCTCCGCCGTAACTGCGAGCCAGCAACCAGCTGCCGCTATACAGTCCGTCCGTCTCGTACTCGTATTTGGCACGCAGCAGCTCGCCCGCATTTCCAGAGCCTTGGCTATCGGCGAGTGTCTTCAGATAGAAGTCGGCGGGATTGCAGTTCGTCGGCTGCATAAAGCCCATGCTGGAGGGCAAAAGAGGCAGTACGTGCATGTTATTCTCGACTGATCGACTAGGTGATACCCTACATACAGGTGCACAAAAACTTTTATTTAAATATAGTAATTATTAATTGTTGTGTATATATTACTGATCTATATATATGGTCGCTATAACCATGTCCGTCTGCTTCTAATCAAACTAGTCTCTTAGTTTTAAAGCTATTGGCATGAAGTTTTGCATAGTTCTGTCTTTTTGTTTTATGTCGGAACCGGGAGGTTGGGTCCTACTATATAGATTGTCATGGGAGTAAACGGGGGAATATTAACTTCTTGTGTGATTAACCTTTTTCTACGCTTGTAGAGGGTATTATACTTTTGCCCTAAAAGGTGTAACGCATAGAAGGAGACATCTCCGACCCCATAAAGTTTATATATTCTAGATCAACATCAACAGCCGAGCTAATAGCCATGTCCATCCGTCCGTCTGTCAGTTTCTATGCGAATTACACTCTCACTTTTAAAGCTATTGTCTTGAAACTTTGCATAGGCTCGTCTTTCTGTGGCAAGCAGCTCATATGTCGGAACAGGCCGGATCGGACCACTATATCATATAGCTACCATAGGAAAAATCGGTAGTAAAATAGGTTCTTCTATGGAAAACTTTTTTGTTTATCAAGATATCTTGACTAAGCCCAGCATTTACTATTAAAACTATGCTGCTTATATGTTTTCTAAGTCTTATCAAGATCGCACTTCTATATTATATAGCTCTATGTGAAGAATCGGTCGAAAAATGTATATATGCATATGCCAAAATATTCGGTTTTCCAAGATATTTTTATCAAACTCAGCATATAAGACTTTTCATATTCCCACATATCTGCAAAGCCGTAAGCCATATGTATGCAAGGGTATTTAATTCCCAGCATGCCGAAGATAGGAGTTCTTTCTTTCGTTTTTTCATATCTATGTCTATGTAAACGCACGCGCTAAGCATGCTTTCCTTGAGAAAAAACCTTTATTAAAAAGCTTTTGTTAACCTTTCACAATATGTAGATAAAACGCGTGATAAATATCGTCATGCTTTTCCTATTGTCTAGAGATAAAGTTGTCCAAATAAACACTGCTTAAGGCAGCCGCTGACATTTTCTACTCTACAACGTATGTAAAAGTACAGCCGACCCGAGATCATGTTTATCCATCATCTCTCAGACTGGAAATGTCAACTTGGACCCTTTGGCCACGCACAGATGCCAGCAGGCTGTTAAGATATGGAGGATCGGCTAGATAGGGTCAGTTGTGCGGATCGAACCATAAGTGGACGCTGACTGGGGGTCACACATGCCGCTGGACTCCTAGCTACCTAAAAGGATTTCGGCAAAAGTTGTCGCGATGAGGAAGAGGTAGAAACAATGCACCTCTCTCTTACACCTGTCCAGCTCTATGCAAAACTAGATTTCGTTTGCTTGGAACCTTCTTTCTTATGGATCTAACACATCTCTATATATTGATTCCTGTTTCGCTGAGAAACGGAAGGTGGACCTCTTATCCAATAGAGTCGAGGACCTAACCCAACCTACCTCTGTACCTCATGGAACTCCACGATAGACACTTACTCTGTGAAGAACTTGGCCGCCTGTTCGGTGCGTCCCTGGTAGACAATGCGGCCACCATCCATGAGAATGATGTGCGTGAAGAGCTCAAAGATGTCGGATGTGGGCTGATGAATGGAACAGATGGCCGCCTTCTTGTGCGTGCCGTTGGGACTGTTGTTGAGCACGCCCAGTGCGGGCAGCTCCTTCATGGCCTGCAGCAGGCTCTCGTGCGAGTTGTCCACAATTTCCATTTCAATGGAATTGCTGCCGGTGCTGCCATTGTCGCTGGGCGTCGCGAACGAGTCCTCGCCGTAGACCTGGGTCAGCGAGTGCTTGGCTATGCGCCGCCTGGTGCACAGATGGCGCAGTGTCTTGATGACTGTATAGGCACTGAAGCTGTCCAGGCCGGTGGTTGGCTCGTCGCAGAAGAGAAAGATGGGATCTGTGATCAGCTCCTCGGCCAGGCTGAGACGCTTGCGCTCGCCGCCAGACAGCTGCTGGATGCGTGTGTGTGCCGCATCCCGCAGCCCCACCGCCAGCAGCAGATCCGAGACACGCTGCCGCTTCTCCGACTTGGTCGTCCGGCGATGCATCTTGAAGTGGGACTAAGTTGGAAGACACACACCCGGCCGCTGCTGTTCAAAATGGTTAGCTAAGGAATTTGGATTGGACCTACCATGAAGTACAGATGCTCGTAGGCGGTAAATGTTTTCACATTGATCTCAAACTGCGGCAGAAAACTGGAGATGCGTGTCATCTGATCCCGCTCCATGGCCATGCCGTTTAAAACCACATCTCCGGTTAGGTTACCGCGCAGCCGTTGCGAAATCGCTGCCAGCAATGTGGTTTTGCCGGCGCCCGAACCACCCAGTATGGCGATGAGGTCGCCCGTTTTCAGGTGACCGCTGACTGCAGATTAACCACACCCACAATTATTTCAATTGGACCCGGAGCGGGCACAGTGTGTGTGTGTGTGAACGACTCTTACCGTCATGGAGAATGCGCAGCTCCCGCTTCTTGCGGCACTCGTTCCAAAAGCTGTAATTGCTTTGCTCCTGCGCGGGCACATAATAGTTGAGCTGCTTCCACTCGAGGCACAGGCTGCCCTGTGCGTCGCCCTCGTCCATTGGCATTGCGCAGAGTTCAATGTACTCCCGAAATTTTGAGGCACAAATCTGAATTTTCGTACAGGTTGCCGCAGCTTATCCACGCTTATCACTCAGCCACTTTGTCTCTTATCTTATCGGCAGCTCTATTGGTATTTGCATATTTCATTCCATTCACTAACTTTCTACACGGCCCCACACAGGTGACTGCCGCAGCCGGGGGAAACCATAAATCTGTGCCGCCGCCCGTGATAGGAAGAGACTCGATTGGGAAGACCGAGAGACAACCGTTCGCGGCGAAGACCACACGTCAACTGTGCCACGGCGTCGGCGGCGATGCCATTTTCTAACCCCAGCAGCCCCCAACGTGGGTAACATTAAACTTTTGACCGCGTTTCGCTTTAACCAACTAATTGTCGCTTATCAGTTCACAATTGTGCTCGACGGGCCCGACCTGAGGGAAGACCGCTCTCCATATATATATACTCTATATATTGTCTGGCTGAACGTAGACAACGCCATCCCATTTATTTTAAATCGAAATCATGTCATTTTCCAAAGGCCATCTAACCGACAAAGCACACTGGAGGTGCACTCAGAGCAGGCGATGATGTCAGGTAGTTGGAGATGGGATATGGAATTTAAGATTTCTGATCGGACAGAATCCAGGAACTTGATCAATGAGTGGCAGCAGCTTATCCTTTATTTTGAGCCTTGTTTCCTTATTATTTGGTTACCTATTTATTTCCATTGTCATTTGACTCAAGGATTTTTGATTGGATAGGATCCAGGAACATGATCAAAAAGTGGCAACAGCTAATACTTTATTATGAGCCTTGTTTCCTTCATATCTGGTTTTCGATTTGTTTTAGTGAGCATTTGAATCTAGGTTTTCTGATTGGATCGGATTCAGGAACCTAGAGTACAATCCTTCTGTCACATTAATTTGTTCTCTATTTGATTGAATTGGATCTTGGATCTTGGTGAATGAGTTGCTTTAGACTGTTCATTGCTTCCTCCTTGACATTGTACTAACCGATCTCAACTGGGAATTCCAATTTATTTTCTTTACTTTTATAAGAACCGAACCTCAAACAAAGCTTATGCCCCAAAAAGCAGCCGAACCCAAAACCAATTGTATTTAAAATTTTTTACAAAAGTTTGGGTTAAAAATTCAATAATAATAAAATAATTAAATTAAATATTTGGTAGATGCTTATTTGGTGTAGAGATCAAATTTAGGCCTCCATTTTTATATGAAAATATCTCGGCTTTCAATATTTCCCGTACAGCAGGAAATTTTAAAATAAAATTCTAAATTATTCAATCTACCAAAGTTTTAATCTAAAGCTGAGTAAAAGGTTGCCTAAAACCGGGCTCACGAACCAAACCCAAAGGTACCTGCCTGTTGGTTCGAACCAGCGACTTTTCTTGCTTATAGTCTTGCTATTAATTCTGATCTTTCTTTCCTATATATTTTAATGGGCCTTAGAGATGATCTAGGAACTTGATCAAAGAGTGGCAATAGCCAAGACTTTGATTTCCTCATATATTGACCTTGTTGCAGAAATCTTTACTATTAATTATTTGAATTATATGGAATAGACGGCAGCTATTTAATCTACAATTTTTGCTGAGCTCTTGACCCGGACTAACCCGAAAGTCAAATCCAGCTATATCGCAGTTCTTATATCCTAGCTTTCACAAATAATAGCCCAAGTTTAGAAGATCACAGATCAAATCTTCAAACATTTTACAAAAGTATATAAACTTTATTTGTGAATCGCTGCAGTATTCAGTAGTAAATGCTCAACACCTTGTGGAATGGAATGTACTCCAATTCGGCGGCATGGGCGCGTCTGTAGTCCCACAGATGTTGATCGATGAGTATGGAGTTGACATTGCGCACATCTACAGCTGGATGTTTCTGCTTCAAGATCTCCAGTACAGCGTCCTTGACCTGTTCGATTATGTAAATGGAGGCGCCGCGTATCTCCACCTCCATGGCGTCGCCGTTCTGCAAGATGGTGTCCTTCTGCAGCACCTCCAGCAGCTCGGGTGTGTACTCCAAGCTGCCAAAGTGCACCAGGACCTGTGGGATGCGATAGTCGGCAAACATGGTTATCTTCCCGATGTCCTCAAAGTAGCCAAGTCCTTCGCCCCGATAGCAGGACCACAAATCGCCGATGAGTATCTGTGCGCGCTTGAAAATGGATACACGTTTGCCGGCAAACTCCGCCTGATCCCGGAAACAGGGAAACTCGTCCACAATCAGCTGCAGCAGAGCTATTGCCGAGCGGTTGGCCGCCTTGACCACATTCTCAAAGCTTCCCTGCCATTTACTTAGCAGGCGCTCCCCCACCTGATGCAGGCACTCCAGCCGCTGCTCCAGCAGCGGGATCTTTGTCACCGCATCGTCGGGTCGGAATATGTTGGTCAATGTCGACAGCTCGATTTTCGAGTAGAATTCTGGGTTCGTTATGTCCAAGCCATCCGCCATAGCCCGATTGATGGCGGCGCAGAGTGCAAAGTAGCCCGTATAACCGTTTACCTTATACTTGGTATAGTTCTCTAAACAGATTGTCGATTACTTATCTACTATATAATATACGTATTCCACTTACGTGGCGTCCAGAAGCAAAAGTTGAGAGTGTCCACAATAAAAATCCAGTTAGCTGCGTGTCCATCACTCGGCTTGGGATGCAGCTCATGTTGCGAAAAGTTGGCTACGTCGATGCGTTTCGCTGGAGTATGTTAGAAATTGTAGCTGCACGGGAGCACATGGCCTTACATATGTATTAATTGTTGACTTACATATTAAGCCGCCAACAATCTCCTCGACCAGCCGGTCAACGCCGGCGGGCACAACTGTTAAATATTTCGCATGGCGCACAATGTGTTCACCAGATTCTCGGGGAGTTAGCGCGGCGCACATCTTGGATAGCGTTCTTCTGACCAGAACTGTTGGCATCGATATTTTAAGTTCTTGTGCGTGTAATCGAGATGATCTTTGTTTTCTTTTTTTTGGCAACGCGATACTATCGAAAATCGGCGAAAAAAGTGGACGAACTAGGCAAAAATACTTAGGGGAAATTTTAATGACCCTGTTTCTAACAAAAAACATATTAAATTCCCTAGACCGTGACGACAGGTAGCAAAGTTCATTTTTTTGCTTCGTTTAGACTTTAACAACTCAAAAGTTGTCGTTATAAGACTTGGTAACGCCCAAATACTTATAAACGAGACTTTGCTCTAATTTTGATGTCAATTTGCTCACGTAACCTATATATTTCAAATAAACCGCGTTGTCTCATTTTGACATGTTAAACAGGGAAAATGTTAAGAGGTACCCTGTTGAATTTTCAAAAATGCCACTGTAAAACTCAATATGTACTGTTAATTTACACATAGTATATAAAACGATATGCTGCCGTTAAATGCGATAGTTGGACAGTGTGACCCGAAATAAAATACATAGTTGGCGCGAAACGCTCACTTTTTGAAATTAACATTAATTTAAAATGTACATTTAAAATGTGAAGCATGGCTACTTAGGAAAGTCGCATAGCCAACTAACTCATTCCATTCATCAGCAGGTTAATTGTCATCCGAAAACCGTAGTAAGCTTCATATCCCTGCTTTATGACACGCGTAATTCGAGTCAAAATATGCAATTAAACAAAAACTTCTTGACTGTAAAAATATTTGCATAACTTGAGCAAACAAATGTCAGGGCGTCACGTCCCACGAAGACAATGGGCTAAGTTGTTGTTGAACTTGTCATTATAAGCACACAACACACACACACAAACGCACGCACAACTAACGAACAAGGGTTGTGCTGGTACTTTCTGCTAAAGTGTAGATTAATAGCTCGGCTGGGGGTTGGGTTTGCTTGTGGGGCTGGGACTGAAGTCTCGGTGTCGCTCTGACAGAAATCAGCGCTCGTAAAATGTACGTAAAATTCATTAAGCGCAACACAAGACGCCAACGCATAACAGGTTGCAGCAGCAGCAGCAGCCAAAAAGGGGCGTGCCCCGCGCACACACAATCATTTAGACAAAGCCTTGCATAGCTGATAAGGCGCGTCTCTCCTTGTGGCACCGCGCACCGCGAGTCTGTCAAGTGGAGCCAGCCCGTCAAGCGCCACTGAGAGCAACTAATTTTTTTTTTCTTTTTTGTCATATCAAAGGATATGGGAGCTTTTGTGGCGTTATTGTTGCACCAAGCCAGATCTTCGTCATCATCATAATCATCATAATCATTATTATGCCTGAGCTCCTTCAGCTGTTGCGCAGCGAGCCGCAACCGCTCCTTAAGTGGCCCCGGCATATACATATATACACCCCCTCCCCCCCTCCCCACGTAACAGTGTCTGACAGATTAGCGTTTTGGCATTGGGGCTTGGGGCCAACCCACCCAAATTGTTTAAAGCATTCAAATTGCCAGCCCGGCCAAATCCTAGACCAGAACAAAATGCCCGCACTGAGAGCCGACCATGTTGATAGAGTCAGCCACGCATTACAACATGTTGTGGTCACCAAATGTGCTGTGTGTGCGTGCCGGGGGGCGGGCGGGCGGTGGGGCGTTACCATGTGGCATGTAATGAGTTTTACGCGGTACAGCCGCAGGTTACGCCCGGCACACACACACATATGTACATACTTGCCATGACAATTTTGGTCGGCGCTCAATTTATGGAGCCGATAAGCTGGCCAGGGTTTTTGTGCGCTAATGCCGGTAATTAACGTCTTTTGTCAACTGATTTCAGCGGCTCCATTGTTTGGGTTTTGTTCTCGTTCAGGTGCAAACGCACAATATTACCTACATTCTTATTGAACAGATCCAAAGGTAACGTGTATTTAGCCATTAATCGGCCGCTGATATTTCGATAAGAATTTCGATAGACAAACAATTGAATAAACAAACCAGATATTAATATGCATTGTCAATATGCCGATTAATTTAATTAAGCAAACTAATGGTGGTCACACTTGTCTGCAATCAGAGATGTGCACTAATCGGTACTTTACGCAAAGAGCAGACGAAGGAAATCTTTACAACTTAATTGTCCTTTATTAAATTTATTTTTTTTAACCACTTAATAATATAATGCATTGTATTCTCCACGTTAATTTATGTATTTGAAATTTAACTAAATCTGGTAAATTAATTCTCAGGTTAATAAATTTATTATGCAATACATATGCATTTACATTCCAATAAGCATATTAAACTTTTCCATTGTTGAGTTCTAAATATTAAAAATGAACCAAATTTTGCATTTTTTTACACAAAGACGTTTAAAAAATTTGTAACTTTATACATATCTGCATAATTTTAACAACCGCCAAAATAGTGGTACATTTGTTAGCACACATTGCATGACATGCCGCTAATCGCATTCTTCGTGTCACGATGCAAAAAGCGCATATCTAGTCGTATCTCGATGCTTGCGCGCGTGTGCTTTGTCGTGTTTGTGGCCGTTCGAAAAAGTGTTTTTAAATAGTGAAATAATGTTAGATCAATATTGTAAATCTGAAGAATCGCGAGTGCAGTGCATGTGTTTAAAAGTGCTTAAGGTTGTGCGTATAAAAAAACAGCTTTACTGCATAAATTATGATCGGTAAGTTGCAATGAAAAGAGTTCACCAACACATGCATACTTGTGCAAGTGTGCGTGCGTGTGTGTTCGATTTTGGCGCACAAAAACTGTTTCATTTGCGGTAAATACGCTTCAATTGTTATTGCTAAATAAATAAAAAATGCCCCAACTCATATCTAAACATTCAAATGCCTGAGAAAGTAATGCAACCGAAATTGAAACACATACAAAAACTATTCAAAGAAAATGAATAAAAAAATAATGGACTGAAGAGGAGCATAAAATGCTCGGGGCAAAGCGCTTTCATGTCAACCATAAAAATAGCAGACGCATAAAAAATTAATAAGCAGCCATGGCAGCCACTAGCCACTGGCCACTCTCCACGAGTGGATAGCGGGCGGACACGACGCATTGCCATTGCCATTGTCTTGTCTTGTCCTGTGTGGGGCACGTTCCACGAACCCTTCACCTGCTTGGCACAAGGCGACCGCTTAACGGAGCGAGACACATCATTAATGCATAATTCAAGCGTTTGGCAGTTTTGTGCTTTCAATATTCAATTTGAATGCCGCCCAAAGGGAAACAGTGTCCTGTACATTTTCTTTTTGTGCACTCTTGTTTTTGTTTTCTATCAATCCATACCCTGTAGAAAAGGCCAAGAAGTTCCGACTATCTACGCAGTAGATATCCAGGGTTGTATGCCTGACGGCCATTACGTAACTTGTGTACCATGCGCAGAACCAGGGCTACGCTAGTTCGGTTCACGTTTCAAACTTAATGCCTCGCACCCAGGTTTTGGTTTCAAGTGGAACAATTGAATTTATTATTTTGCATTGTTTTTTTTTAATTTATTTTTTCTGCTTGCAATTCACAGCTGAGGCCAGGGTATATTGTAGTTGGGCAGTCTTTTTTTGCGCATAGTTTTCATGCTTCGCTTTCATGCTTTTGCTTATTTATTTGCTTTGTGTGGCGCTGATCACTTTGCCATTGCTGCACCCCCCCTCCGCACCACCCCCCGTCCGCCGCCATGCTGCGGGTACCTGCTGCATTATTCAGGCGATTCGATTTACAACAACACAAAATGCATGATAAACCGTTTCTAGACGTTCCGAGACAACGGCCATTGTCTCGGACCTGTCGTCGTCGACGTCGTCCTCGATTTAGCCGCGGGGGCGTTTATACTACATAGAAAAGCAGTAATCATGGGGGTTGGGGGCGGTTGGATGGGGCTGGGGGACTGGGACGGTGGGCGTTTTGGGAGACTGGCAGCACTGCAGACACGCCTCCTGCTGTTGCATGCGTTAGTTGTTTATTAAATATAAATGATTGTCACTTGCGGCATGTTCTCAACGTGTCCTGGAACCAAACAAAATGTTGACGGCGATGATTGCTTGAATTTCATTGAGCAAGTGCCTGGGGGGCTCACTTGCCAAGCTCAAGAATGCTGCTTATTGCGATTTCTTGTACTTGCATGTCTTCTTGTTGCTGTTGTTCCTATCGAATTGTATATACCCTGTACTATTAACAATCGTGTCGATCTGGTAATGTCTCTCTGTCTGTAAGGGTAAGATTCTTCGTTTTTTGAATGCAGTTCTTCCCATTGCCCGCGCAGGACAAGTTTTTTGTGATTTATCGATAACTCGCTTTCGATAATCGATAAAAATAGAATGTAAGATTGGTATTTTTGAGCACATCTCGGAGGATAGGTCTGTCGTTTAGTGGACTTGTGTATAAAAGTAAGTTCGAAGCCAGTTCGTCAGCTCGACAGGGTATCTGCCAGTTGGGCACGCCCGTCTAGAGCACTCCTACTTGATTTTGTGCTGCAATTGCTTGCAATTTGGCGCCCCCCTCAACTCAATGGGCTGCTGACACTTGGGCGCCACTTTGACAAGTCATGACATTGCAATTGTTATTGATACGAGTATTGGCCATTTGGCATTGGCTCGTCATACTAACTACTTATAAGTACTCATACGATGTGCCGTGTCCATGTGAAATACGTACTGACGGGCGGACGTCAGCGTTCTCGTAAAGGGGATTTTTGAAATGATTCGCCGGATATTGACCACAAAATGCCATTAAAAAATAATTACGAATTTTAATTGGCATTTAGTTGAGGCAAAAAATTAAGTGCCATCGAACATAAAAACTGCTTTTATTATTGATTACTTTAACGCTTTTAATTATTGGATACCATTTATATATGCATGTATATATCTATATGTACATTTGTACAATATACGTACGCATACAGTTTGGACACTTTTGACGATTATGTACAGTGAAACTTCCATGTGTGGTATATTTAATGCAGAAGAAGTTTATGTCTTTCATCATTGGAAATTATAAGCGTTGGCAAACCGAGGGATTGAATTACTGTGTAGAAA